AGAGTGAAACACTTGAAGTGAAACAGAGCTATTTAGCCATAAAAAGTGAGTATAATGTTTGTTCTACATTTAATTTGTCAGACTTATCTCTTTTTAATGTAGATGATGAATCCGATTTGAGGACAAATCCTTTTCAAGAGGGAGAGAATGATGTGAACATGACCTATGATAAGAGCTAGAGCAAGGGAAACAAAGGAAGCTCTTCAACAAGTATTGTTGGTTGACCAAATTGTGTTTTGGATTAATCAATTAATGGTCTTTAGTTTGATTTTGTTTTAAGTTATAATAAGGGCCCAATTGAAAATTTAGTCATCAGCCTTTGGGAGACCAAGGGGTGCATAGGCGATTGACTTTTGGTTGCCACGAGTTTCGGATACAATCAGTCATTAAGTAGTTTCAATTCCTAGGTTAATGGATCATTATTAGCCTTTATTTGTTTCCATTAAATAGTTTTCAATTCCTAGATTAATGAGTTATTATTAGTATTTATTTTCTTTTATTGAGTCTTTTGTAATTCTGATGGCAACGCTTCTATATCAGCTGAACCATTCTTATCAAGAAATAACAAGTGAAATTTTATTCAGAAATATTAGAGTTTATCATTTTTATCTTAGTGAGAGTGATTCTCCTAAATTCTTGAGTGATTCAAGAACCCTTGGCTGTATCAAAGGACTGTCACATCCTTTGTGTGTTGCCTCCCTTGGGAAGAGTGATTCTTTCCTTCCACCTTCTTTCTAATTCCTAAATTTCTTACAATGTTTTAACCCTAAAGATCCTAAATTACCCCTTGTGATTCATATCAGGGGTTGAGTAGTATTTCAAGGAAATGAACATGCTCATGATTTAAGCAAAGATTAAAGAAGATGAAGAGGTAACTATGACCCGATTTATTGATGGTTTGAATATTGATATACATGATATTGTTGAGTTGCAGAAGTTTGTTGATATGGAGGATTTACTTCATAAAGTAATTCAAGTGGAACAACAACTCAAAATAAAAGAAGTGGCTGAGAAGAGTTTTACCAACTTTGGATCTTCAAGTTAGAAGGACAAAGGCAAGAAAGATGAGATTGTTACTTCTAGTAGTTCCACACCTATTCCTACAAAGACTCCTTCAAAGTCTGAACAACAACCCTCTAAAAGAAGTAGAAATGTGAAGTGTTTCAAATGTCAAGGCCTAGGACACTATGCTTATGTGTGTCCTAACAAAAGGTCTATGATTCTTAGAGAGAGAGAATATATAAGTGAATCTGAGGTTGAAGAGGGGGAGGAGATTCTAAAGGGAGATTTATTGATAATTAGGCGATTACTTGATGGCCAATTGAAGCTTATAGAAGAAAACCAAAGAAAAAATATTTTCCACACTAGATGTTTAATCAATGACAAGGTGTGCATGATGATCATAGATGGAGGTAGTTGCACCAATATGACTAGTGCTAGATTAGTGTCAAAGCTAAATTTACCTACTAAACCACATCCTAGGCCTTATAAACATTAATGACTTAGTAAGGATGGAAAGGTGCAAGTGAAGAAGCAAGTTGAAGTGAACATTTTCATTGGAAAATACAATAATAAGGTACTTTGTGATGTTGTTCCTATGGAGATCAGTCACTTACTTTTGGGGAGACCATGACAATTTGATAAAAGAGTTCATCATAACGGGTTCACCAATAACTCTTGTCCTCAAACTTTTGAGTCTACAAGAAGTGTGCGAGGATAAAAAGAAAATAAGAGAAAAATTATTCAAGAGAAGAGAAAAAAAGAAAGCATTAGTGAAACACTTGACAAGAAAAAGAGTGATCAAAAGATGAGTGAAACACTTGAAGTGAGAGAGAGATATTTAGCCACAAAAAGTGAGTATAATATTAGTTCTACATTCAATTTGTCAGACTTATTACGTAGATAACAAATTCGTTTTGAGGACAAATCTTTTTTAAGAGGAAGAGAATGATGTGGACATGACCTATGACAAGGGCTAGAGCAAGGGAAGCAAATGAAGTTCTTCAACAAGTATTGTTGATCAATTAATGAGTTTTAGTTTGGTTTTATTGCAAGTTGTAATAAAGGCCCAATTGAAAACTTAGTCATCAGTCTTGGTGCATAGCTAATTAACTTTTGGTTGCCACAATTTCAGTTACAATCAGTCATTAAGTAGTATCAATTCCTAGGTTAATGGATCATTATTAGCTTTTATTTGTCTTCATTAAGTAATTTTCAATTCCTAGGTTAATGAATTATTATTAACATTTATTTTTCTTTATTGAATATTTGTAATTCTAATGGCAAAACTTCTATATAGGCTTAACGATATTTTTATCAAATATAAAATATTGGAGTTTAGCTCTTTTATCTTGGTGAGAGTGATTTTCCTAAATTCTTGAGTGATTCAAGAACACTTGGTTGTATCAAAGGACTTTCACATCCTTTGTGAGTTGCTTCTCTTGGGAAGAGTGATTCTTTCCTTTCACCTTATTACTAAATTCCTAAATTTCCTATAAGGTCCTAACCCTAAAGATCCTAAATCATTCCTTGTGCTATTGAGATTCATATCACCACAAATATAGGTTTAACTATCATCCCTAATGATATTCCTCATGTAAATTATTGAAGAGACAATAATATTGAAAGAATGACTTTAACGAATAAAGTCTTGTGTGGCTTATTGAAGAGAAAGGGTGTAAAAAGAATGATTTTAAGGAATAAGTTCAAAATTAATAATAATTATTTGAGAATTACTTTTAATAATAAGATATAATAATATTATTTTTAAACGATAATTTTTTTATTCAATTTACTTTTAATTCTTTATAATTTTATTAAATTATGTAAATTATAAAAAATATCATTTAACTAAATTATATTAAATTTATATAAAAATTATTTTAAGCTTGCAACATAAAATTATCATTATAAAATGCATATTAACTTTTTTAATAGAATAAACCACTACTAAAAATTCTCATTTTTCATGGGAATATTTTTGCAAAATTTTAGTAAAAATTGTAAGAAATAAGTTTTCTATAAATTTAAACAATTTTTTACAAGAAAATTGGCGAGAAAAAAACTAGTTTTCTAGTAGTGAACACTCCATGATAGAGGTCACTTGATTAAATTATATTTATATAGTGATTAGTAATGATAAGATAAGAATAACATATTGTAAATATTTATACAATTTATATGAATACAAAATTTAAAATATAAACTTTTTTTTCTTATATAAGAAATTGCTTATATTTAAAATATAAAAAAAATTAATAAAAATATTTAAAATTACATCAACTTCTAATAGATTCTTATTAAGTCCAACACCTATATCATTTTCTTTTTATAAATATACTATTATCATAATTTAAAATAATATATATAGTAAGCTAGTAATTTAAAATAATATTTTTAAATTTTAATTTATTATAAAAAGATATATATATATATATATATATATATATATATATATATATAAAGTCATTTATCACGTCATACATATTATATCATATTCATAAGATATTCATAAGGATCGTTATTATATTACACAAGTTATTATATTACACAAATTCTAGACAATTTCTAGAAGATTGATTATTAAATTAAAATATAGAATTTTACATTTATTACACTTCAATTCCCCAAATGTTGAACACAAGAGTACTTTATATAATATATATACTTACTTGTGACTAGGACAAATTTTTGAATGACTTATCAAAACATAACTTTTTTTCACACTCCAAGTTAAGGTATTAGAAATTTTCTTAAACTCTCTTCACTTAATTCTTTTATCTATGTAATTCAAATTATCAGTAAATCCAATCCTTACATGTGGTGGGTGATGATTGAAGAATGGTCACAACGATTTCTACCTCCATGGTTTAATATTTTTTTTATCAAGGATAAAATAATAGAAAACTATGATATTGAATATACTAGTCTTAGATATTATTATTTTTATTATTATTATTATATATATATATATATATATATATTTAAAATTGAAAGATTTATAAAATATATTATTTATTTTAATGTATATATATTTTTTCTTAAATATGATTAGTTAATGTTGTAAGATTTTATCTAATATGAGTGGATAAGGAGTAAATAAAATCTCATTAATAATTATTTTTCGATAAGGTTAAACAAGAAAATATATTTTAATGTATATAATTTTTTTAAAATTTTATTAACATAGCCCGTTAAAATGTTTATAATATTTCCACGCATACTCATTAGAAAATAATTTCACAAAATAGAAAATATTTATAAGAACGAAAATGTTGGTGTTTTATTGCAAAAATTCTACAAATACCAACTAAGATGACTGATTTTTCTTTTGGTTTACAAAAACTTAGGATTATAGAAATACAATTCACGATTTGATAGGATAAATTAAAAAATAAAATAGAAGAAACAATTTTTCCCCCACGAAATAAAAGGATAACCAACACTTCCATAATTTAAAACTACTACTAATAGCGGTATCAAGAATTTCAAGATTTGTGAGAAAGAAAAGAAAAGAAAAGATCAATGACAATGACGGAAACTGGATTGCATGACAACATGTCAGTACTCGATAACAATAATTTGAATAATTATGATAGTTAGTGCATGAAGGTGAATGTTATCTTTGTGTTTTAAAAAGTCTTGGATATTGTTACGAATGAATATGATAGGCTACCGAGAATCCCACAAAGGAAAACATGATATGTTTCAATATGCGAAGAAACATGATTGTAAAGCTTTGTTTCACATTCATAAGTGTGTTGATAAAAGTAATTTTGAGAAGAGTTCGTTGATAAATACGGCGAAAGGAAGCCTGAGATATACTGTCGTAGAGTTACGCAGGGGTAAAAAAGTTTAAGGTGGTGTGACTTCAAATCTTGCATCATCGGTATAAGTTATTGCAAATGGGAGCGCAATAAACCATTCAAGAATACTTCACAAGATTACTATCTATCACAAACTTAATGAAATTGTATCATAAAAACTTGAAAGAACGAGTGATGGAGGAGAAAGTGTTGAAGTTGGATGAATTACAAGAGTTGTTGGAAGCTCATGAACAATGTTTACATGAGAGGGTAGAAGAGAAATCCAACTCAGAACAAGATTTGTTGGTGAAACAACACCAAAAGGATGAGGGTAATGGAAGAAAATCTAACAAGAGAGGTTGTGGAAGAAGTTTGAGAGCCAGAAACAGTGATGATCGAGGTTCACAAGAACAATAGAAGAGTTCCAAAAAATTGAATATTGAATTAGAGTCATAAATTCTGCATCTATTTGTTGACAGTTTAATCCAAAATTATTTTAGAATTCTGTTATTTTGTTAGGAACATAATTAGCTCCTATAAATACAATCATTTTTTTACTGTAAAAAACTACAAGTTAATAAAGGAAAAATACTTATTTTCTCTCAGTGATCATTTTTCTCTCTACATATTCTTTTTCTTTCCTCGTGTCCTGTGAGTGTGTGTCATCCTTTAGAAACAAGAGTTGTCCTGCATAGAAAAAAGAAGATTGGTTAGAAAGGAGAAAATGTGATAACAACATAAGTAGCTAGTGCGTAGCTCTGTGCAAGAGAGAGAGAGAGAGAGATCGTAGTTGCCTTGTGTGGTGTGTACGAGAAGCAGAGAAAATATTTTCTCTTAGTAGGTGGGTTTGGGCTTAAGTGTATAAGCACTGTTCGAGGCCCAACAAAGTGGTATCAGAGCAAGGTTCAAGAAAGAATCTTGGGAGTATCATTGTGTGTGTACTCATGGGGTGGAAATATGATACTGGGAAGTTTACCAGTGTTTGAAGAGAAATGTTACGATGATTGATGCGTAAAGATGAAATTGTGAAGGTGGGTTTCAAAGAACCACCCAAGAACGTTGATGACAAAGCCAAAAAAGCATTCAAAGAGATCAAGAAGTTGGACTGCAAGGCTCGAGTATTGTTACATCAATGTGTTGCTGCTAATTTTTTCTAGAAAATTTCAGAAGTTGCCACAACAAAGGAGATTTGGGATATCTTGCAGAATGGGTATGGAAATTCTGGAAAAATCAAGAAAGTGAAATTGTAATATTTAATGAGGCAATATGACCTCCTTTCCATGACAGAACAAGAGACAATGACTGAATATTTTGACAGGTTACAAGTACTTACCAATATGATGAGAACGTGTGATGAAAACATAGAAGATTGCAAGATTATGGAAATTTTTTTGAAGAACTTTAACTCCAAGTTTCGATCATAATGTGATTGACATAGAGGAATCTAAGGATCTTGATGTTATGATAGTAGAATAATTACAAAACTCTCTTGAAGCACATGAACAAAGAGAGTGAATGAAAGAAAGAACTGTGAAAAAGTAGTAGAACAGGCCTTACACGCCAAGATTGGTCAAAATGGAAGAGGTCGTAGTGGCCAGAGAGGAAGAGACGGAGAAAAACTGGAGGAGGAAGATTTAGGAACAAAAATGGAGGTAGAAATGGTGAATCAGTGTCCCAAGACAGTGAGAATGAAAGAGGAGGAGGAAGTCAATACAGAGGAAGAGGAACGGGTAACAGAAGGCCCTATAATAAAAGAAAAATACAGTGTTATAACTGCAACAAATTTGAGCATTATTTGTATGAATGTTGGCAAGATAATACTTCAAAGAATGAACAGAATGGAGAGGAAGCTAATCTAGTGCAAAAAGAAGAAGGAGGGTATGATTCAGACCAAGTACTGTTGATGACAACAACAGCCAGTGAAGAGGATAACACATCTTGGTACTTGGACACAGGATTCTCTAATCACATGACTAAGAACAGAAGTTGGTTAATTAATCTCAATCCATGTGTGAAAAATAGTGTTAAATTTGCTGACAATAGTTCCTTTGTGGATTACACGCAAGAATAGGGCACTTATTGGAGAAAGGTTATACTATGAACATGCAGCAGAAGTTTATTGAAATATTTGATTCACAGCAAATGTTAGTGATTAAGGCACCACTATCCAAGAACAGGACCTTCAAGATGAATTTGGATGCCATTGAAATACAATGCCTATCAACAACTAATGTGATGTAAAATAAAGTAAGGTACAAAATTTTAAGAAGATAAGATACAAAATTTTAAGCAATAAAGTAAATAAACCTAAGAAAAATTCTCACTGGACAATAAGATAGTTGTCTATCTAGATGTGAAAGTTTATTTCCAAGAATTATGGAATGAGTAAAGATGGAATGTAACTAGAAAAGAATAAAGATAATGACCAAAAAAATGGACCAGCCTCTTAGATAAATAAATAGAGTGAAGAAATAAAAAAGAAAAAAATAAAAAGAAGAGAAATATGGTGGTGGTGAAGTATTGACACGTCACTAGGGGATAAACCACCCTAAATAAGTGATGATTGTCACCATTTGAACCAAGATTCAAGATAAGACACTCAAAAAGAGGAAACAATTAAAAAAAATCTCACATACTTGTCATAATTAAAATGTATACTACCCTTAATGACTTAATTAATGTCAATTTTCTTGCGAAGAACTTTTTCTTTATGCCCGTGTTATGTTCATGTGGGGTGCTTCATATTTTAACTTTAGCACTGTTTACTTGACAGCCAGAATTTCATGGTAATGACCCTGAACCTGCTTTTGTTAGTGCAATCCTCACTTTGAGATTCAACCATGAAGCCTTTGTTTCAACTGGAAGCACACAATTAAGTCCAGTTTTTGGTATCTAATTCTTAGGGATTAGACACTGTTCTTTCTCTATTTATTTCAAGATAAAATATATATTTTGATAGAAACATATGTTTTTAATATTGATAGATGTCAAACTCAGCATCAGTTTATGTAAATGTTGAAATAAAAATGCATTAAATTTTTAAAGACTAGTAAAACTAATATTTTACGGGATATAATTTCTATTTTGCCCTTTATTTTAAAACAAACATTGACATCTTCTAAATGGGAATCAGTATGTTGATAAATTATTCAATTTGCTTGTGCAAGTGTGTGATATGTTTGGCAGAGTACAAAGAAAAAGAACTATTGCGCATCATACCAAAATGTGGCCACACTTTTCACCTTTATTACATTGATAAGTTGCTGGAAACAATCTACTTCTCCAGTGTGCCGTTTGTCACTGCAAAATGCTTCTGAATCAGAGCATGTGAGACATGTAAAATTTACAATCAAACATTCTCTCAATGTGTCCAATTCTTCAGAAAGAACCATATGAGAGGCTAGTTGAACCTAGTTCTCGGATCTCTCTACACTCAACTTTGGGAACCAGAAGGTACATAAGTGTCTAATATTGCGTATGTAGAACATTGCTAGTAACTCCCTTTAAATATTAATAACACATTTTTTTATATGTTTGTTTATTGAATTTTGTTTGATTATTTTCTATTTATTGAAAGATCCTCTTGTGGATTATTTTCTATTTATAGAAATATTATATAAAAATTATTCTTAAGTTCTTTAAATGTGTTTTTAATTATATTTTTTATATATTTTTTTATAAATTCAACGGGATTATCTATTTTTTCTTTCATTAGTATAAAATACATTATGTTATTAAAACAATGGAGAAGAGGACAAAATTTAGAAATAAAATTTATATTGATTAATAAATTAGCTTAAAACTACAAGAAAAATACATTATAATATATTGTGAGTATATTATTCCAACTTTATCATTATATATAAAGGAAATAATAAGAGAGTCTCTAAAGTGGATCCAACTCTTAAGGATAGGAGAAGAACAAAATAAATTCATCCTTACAATTTATGGCAACCCATCCTCTTCCTTTAGAAGCTTTGTTTTCATTCGCTAAAAGGTTCATCACAATTAATTTTCAGAAATCCTTTTGGAAGTGTTATCCAACTAACTAATCTACTGGAACTTGATTCTTCTCTGAAAAAATAGTTTATCTATCGGCTCATCGAATACATTAATAAGAATTGAAATTACATATATGATGGATGTGTAAGTTTTACAAAATATTTAAATTATATAAATAATAATAATAAAAATTAATAAAATCATAAACAACAAATGATGATGGTAGCTTTATTTTGATTCGATACGAATAATTCTCATCTTGTTTTTCAAAATAGCATCTTTGTGTTTATTAAACAAACTAATCTTTTTCGATATAGGTAAAAACATTTTTAGTTTGAAATTTAAAAAAAATAATGTGTGACTTATAATTTTTTATAATAAAATTTTATATAAGGGTGATTTTTTTACAATTGACACCTCAAAATATCATCTAAAAGTTAATAAAATATTAAATAATATTATTATATTAATAAAATGGATTCTTTTATGAATATTTAAATGGTTAACCAACCATTTCTCAATGTTATAATTAATTAACATGACAAATAAAAAAAATGTAGTCATCATTTTATAATAAAAATTTTCAGAAAGGTAGGTGATTCTTTTTACATCCCAAATACCATCTAAAACGTTAATAAAATATTGGATAATATTATTATATTGACATAATAAATTCTTGTTTTTAAATTATAAATCAATATTTTTTAATTTTATAATTGATAAAAATGACATATAAAAAGATAATCATAATTTTATAATTAGATTATATTAGGAGCTTTCCAAATATATGTAAGATCCAAATGCATTATTACCCATTATGGAGAAAATAATAAAAAGTAATAGAGATTTAAAAGATATTCATGTCATAGATTGCCCACACTTTTTATTTTAATTTTAATTTTTTCTGTGATTGGTGGTATAAAGAAGAAGAGAGAGTGAGGAGAAGAGGATAGGAGGAGAACACATGATAGTTATGTCCTCTTCTACATGGTTCACTTCACTTCCACGATTTCTTCCTTCTTCTTTCACCAAAACCGCTAAATCGTCACCAAGTACGTGTACTCTGTTACTTTAATAGATTCTAATTTCATTTATTCTAAAGCACATTACGAGCTGACACAGTGGCAATCACTGCCTAACACAATTTTATGGAATGTTTAGGTCTTTGTAACAAGTGACAGTTTTGTCTATTACACGTAATTGCCCTTCTTAAATTGTCTTTTTCGTTCCTCAATAATTGAAATTGTCATCTTTTTTACAGTTCATATTGTAATTGTGAGAAGGGTATGTATGGAGATTAAAAAAATTGTCTTTTTTTTTTTCTATGATTTTTTTGCAAAAATTTGTACTTGAGTTTGAATTATTTGATTTAATTTAGATAGATTTAACTCGATGAAAGATAACGGTGGTTTCTAAGTTTATAGTTTTTTGTTAGAGTTCTGCATGAGCATGAGTGAGGATCCGGTTCGTGAATGGATTCTTTCAGAAGGGAAAGCTACAAAGATAACCAAAATTAGCCCTGTTGGTGGGGGCTGTATCAATCTTGCTAGTCGCTATGACACTGATGCTGGTTCATTCTTTGTTAAAACAAACCGGTATAGCACATGGGAGATTGGACATTCTGTTTTTGGTTTAGTGTTCAGTTAATGAGTTGTGCCTTGTGATTGAATTTTTGGTTTTGAATGTGTTGTGTTGTTTCAATTATCTTGGATTGTAGCAGAAGCTTCATTCCTTTGCTTCTTATGTATGACACGCTCTATGTTGTTGAAAGTTGAAAATCTATATCAGGAGTATTGGACCATCCATGTTTGAAGCAGAGGCTCTTGGCTTAGGAGCTATGTATGAAACCGGGACTATCCGTGTACCTAAGCCGTATAAGGTGAGAATAATATTTGTTCTGTGACATACTATTTGTATCATGCTGGAGAGAACTTGAGTTGACTTGTTGCTAGGAGTTGTAGTTTGGACCGCTACCTACTGGTGGTTCTTTCATAATCATGGAATTCATACAATTTGGTGCATCTAGAGGTTATCAGGTGAGAATCCTAGAAATTGCTTTTAACTAGGAAAGTGTTTGTTCCTTAATTGTAATTTCGTGCTTCTCAGTCTGAACTAGGGAGGAAGCTTGCTGAAATGCATAAAGCAGGAAAGTCCAGTAAAGGCTATGGTTTTGATGTTGATAACACCATTGGCAGGTTTGATGTACCTTCTTAATGAAAATAATCATTGTTGCTGTAAATGTTATTGTTATCATTTATCAGTTATCATCTTTTGTTTCTTCTAATTGATTTCTGAGTATGTCATTTATATTATGTTGTAGCACTCCACAAATAAACACCTGGTCATCAGATTGGGTTCAATTTTACGGAGATCATAGATTGGGTTACCAGTTGAAGTTGTTATTGGACCAATTCGGTGACAGAACCATTTATGAAAAAGGTAATTTTTGTTCTGATACTACTTTTCTTCCCGTTAATTAATTCTAGTTGTACATCACATTCTGTCCATGGCATAGGTCTGTTTGGACTAGCTTATTCATAAACTCTTTTAGGGGAGAAAAATAAGAAGAAAAAAAAAGTTAATTTCAATTTTGCTCCTTATTTTCTTTCTCCTATATGAAGCTTATGAAGAAACTTGTCCAAATAGGCCCATATTTAGACAGAAAAACAATAAGCAGATGGATTGAACTTGAACTCAGACAGATTGGATACATGAAAGGTATACTAAGTTCATTGACAAAGGGAGAATAGGAAGCTCTTCTTTTTCTTGTGGATAGTTGTATATATTTTGACCTTTCAGTTAGTGACCATTTCCTGTTTTCACCATTCTTTTTGGTGGAGTAACCATAGAAACAAATGTCTCTAGAGTCTAACTGGAAATAAGAATGCAGTACATTGAGGGAAGAAATGATTTAGACATTTAGTTTAATGTAGGATCTAAATCTCGAGTAAGAATATATATATATATATATATATATATATATATATAAGCACTATTGGCTATGTAACTCAAACTTGCCATTTGTTCATGATCTCTGTTCATAACAATTTTGATTCTACAAGCACCATTTGTTCATGTCTCTAGAGTCTAACTGGAAATAAGAATGCAGTACATTGAGGGAAGAAATGATTTAGGCATTCTAAACATTTAGTTTAATGTAGGATCTAAATCTCGAGTAAGTATATATATATATATATATATATATATATATATATATATATATATATATATATATATATATAAGCACTATTGGCTATGATCTCTGTTCATAACAATTTTGATTCTACAAGCAACATTTGTTTATTTTGATTGTAAAACTCTCACTTTTCCTCTCCCATATTTTTGCTTAATATATTATTTTTTTTATAAGTATTTAACATATATATGAATTTCATAAATTTGGTAGGATCTTACTATCCTCCGATCTTTTTTTTATCTTAAGTACGATCTCGATTTTGACTATCTTTGTATTGAAACTCCCAAAATGACTCCATACATTTTGCTTGACTTGTTCTATAGGACAGAGACTAGTGAAAAACATGGGACGCCTGTTTACCAACGTGGAGATAGAACCATGCTTACTACACGGAGACCTCTGGAGTGGAAACATTAGCTCTGACAAAAATGGAGAACCTGTCATATTGGACCCTGCAAGTTATTGTAAGTCTAGCATTTGCAAAATGTTGTATGGCAGCTTAAAGTTTGGAACCAGATTAACAGTGACAATTAAACACACAAAAATACCATAACAAAAGCCTTGTACCATAGGAACACACAAAAACACAGGAAAAGTGAGAGGGTCTTGTTTGAATTCAGAAAATTGTGACTTTTGATATATGTGGCTCACAATATAATTGTCAGATAAAATAGTTAAAATATGTTAAGGTTCCAACATAAAACCAATTGGTAATATGTAGAGTAGCCTAACATGTATTTAAACCATACCAAATGACACGAGATAGGCGATGTGGGACTTTCAACATGTCCCCTCCAACAAAGTCTGCCGGACCAGGCAAAGGGTACTTTTGACCCAACTAAAGGGCAACTTTTGGCCCATGACAATAACCGGAAAGATGTAGGTTTTGGCTCTGATACCATGTTAAGGTTCCAACATAAAACCAATTGGCAATATGTGGAGTAGCCTAACATGTATTTAAACCATGACATGAGGTAGGCGATGTGGGACTTTCAACAAAATACGTTATAAATTTCTGAAACTTGGTGAAAAGTAGACCTGTAAATGAGTTGTAATGACATGTCTCTAGGTGAACATTTTCAAAGCCATTTTATTATCGTGCATGGCCCAAAATTTTAGCCTAATTTGATATTTTATCAAACACATTTTAAAAGACCTTTATTAAGGACGGTAAGTTTGAAGCACGGCTCAATTAAGTTGCATAGCCACAATTGTTAGGTGCTAGCTAGGTCTTATAAATTTTGCCATAGTGGGGCTAATGCAAATATGTAATCTGAGACTTCAATAATCATACCAGCTTTGAGGGAAAAAAATGGGCTGACAGTTTGTGGTTAATGTTGTTTTATTCTGCAGATGGACACAGTGAAGCAGAATTTGGTATGTCATGGTGTGCTGGTTTTGGAGGCTCATTCTATAATTCTTATTTTGAGGTAATACTGTTTGCTTACATAGGGTATAATTATTTTACACCACATTTCTCTCTCTCTGGATTTCTTTCTGTTTTTGTTATTCGTTTCTGTTAGAAAAAGTATGTAATTGGTGTCTAGGTTCTTTGTAAATAGGCAACCATAATCATATCATGTAAGTATGGTTGTCGGATTGTAATTATTACATTGATTCTATATAGTAGAGCCTCCACTGTATATTTCAAAAACCACACAATTAGTCACATGTCTCTTGACATGGCATGCAGAGTCTAACGAGAGGCAACCCTACTTCATGTCTCCCCAAACCACTTACTCCCTGCTGATGAATTACGTTTTTCTGATAATTGTGTTTTCAAACGAGTTCCATATCATTGAAAATCTTATATCGTCTGTCTGATGTAGTATGATTTAAATACTTAATATGTTACTTTACGTATTGTTAATTAATTTTTTGTTGGAACTTTAATATGGTATCCGAATACAAGTCTAACTTCTTTCTAATTCTTGTCTTTGAGCCAAGAGGAGTTACTCTTTCATTGTAAGTCAAAAAGTACTCTTTGCCTGATTCAGCAGACATCAATGAAATTATGGAAGAGGCGTGTTAAAAGTCTTACATTGTGTATTTCATGTCATGTGATATAAATACCTGTGAAACTATTTCATATATTGTTAATTAATTTTATGTTGAAATCTTAACATATGTCTCCACATTCGTGTTTGAAAGTAGACACTCTTGCAACCTTAATTGTATATGTCACTTTCAATCCAAATTTGATCCTGTCGTAAACTTTTTAAGCCAACCACAACGAGGTTTTTTTCTCTGTACATGTTAATGTAAGATTAGATTATATTAAACAAATCTCTCTGTCTTCCAGCAATATTTTTCAGTTCAACCAAATCGCGTTCTGTCAATTAACATCTATCAAAGTTAGTTATATTTTTTTTTGTGAACTTTACCTTAATAAAGTGAATATGTATTTGGCTTCTCAATATCTTTGTTAAGCTAGTTTCTATCTGGTATAATTGCCATGTTTCAAAGAAACACGGTCTTGGTGTTGGGTTGGCATGTGAAATGTTGGTTTCATAACAATAATATTCTACTGTAAAAAATAAAAAATAAAAAAATTCTGATAACAATTTCAAATTATTTCTGCAGGTGATGCCTAAACAGCCAGGCTTTGAGGAGAGGAGAGACCTTTACATGCTGTATCACTATTTAAATCATTACAATCTCTTTGGTTCTGGATATCGATCATCTGCCATGTCTATAATTGATGATTATCTTGCATTTTTAAGAGCTTAGGATTAAGTGCATTATCCTCAAGGTTGTATATGAATTAGATCTTTTACATCTGGCTACATTACATTTTCCCCTATCACCTCATTCAATGAAATGGATATATTCATGTATTGCATAGTCATGTCTTTCTTTTATTCCCTTTCTCCTTCACTTGCAGTTAGCAAATTAAAAAATTATAGCGGTTTATTTCAGAATATTTTGATTCTGTAATATGCAATATTTCAGACTCATTTTGATACTTCATGACATAAGAAACAATTAATCGATCAGGTACTTAGATTGATTTTAAAGTTCAATAAGGATTATCTATCTTATGAGATAGATTTAAAATTCTTTAAAAGATGTTATACTAGCTTATTAATTTATAAGTGTTTGATGAAATTATTACTTAATTAGTTAATAAATGTGATAGATTACTTTTAACTACATTTTAGTTTGATTATAATGTTTGTGTTGCACATTATATTATTAATTAATTTTCCATCTGAAAATATCCCTTGATCCATTCAAAAACAGGGTTTGGCCCATTGAAATAGCTTTTAAGGGTAAAATGATGTAGTTGATTCCAAGTTTTAAAGTGAACAAGATAATTGATTCCAACTTTTGAGTACCATTTGGAGGGTAAAAAATTTCATATGCTTTAGCCCCAGAAATATCATGTTCTTTTCCATCTGATGGCAGAAGAGGAACGGGAAAACATGTACTTGAATGACAACGTTAAAAAATCCATTTCACTTTGTACAGAAAGGTCATCCACACAATAGACACGTGTCCTCATTGAAAACTTTTTCATCAAAAGTATTTTCAGCCAATTCCTCCCCATTAACATTGTTCATAAATTCGCCACAGCCAGATGTGTAGCGTGCAACACCAAATGGTTCCCGCCGTAGATAGAAATGATTTTGCCCGAAAGTCGATGTCTGATCACTTGAGTTTAGGAAATGAAGTAAAGGGTTTTGTAGAGAATGCAGATGCATGCAATTACAGAGATGAATATGACGGTTGTGCACTTGGCGCCTTTTCCTGTTATCATTGTCAGTCTGAAACAGATGCTGCGATCCCAAATTCGGATCAGATGAATGTATATTCCTGTGCTGTTGAATTGGATACACTTGATTCAAAAACAACATCATAATACTCAAACAAGTGGAGACTAACTTGCAGTATGCTGTAACAATTACTAGGCCTGCAGTCAACTAAAACATACATGAAGTTAACCATACAAGCTGCAAATCTAGAAATAGACTGAGAAATTAGAGAGAGAGAGAGAGAGAGAGAGAGAGAGAGAGAGAGAGAGAGAGAGTATGCTTATTGAATATTGAATGGCGAAAAAGGAAAGAAGAAAACTCTCATCCAAAACTTTCCCCTTCAAAAATTTCTACAAGAGAGAAAATGCTAACATCGTGAATGCATTTCCCTATTATTTTTCCTACTATTGGAGATAACCTTGCAATTATAATCCCTGACAAATTATATGAATACTTTGTAACTAACTACATAACTTCCTCAGTTCCGGAACACAATCAACAAAGGGAAAGGACTCCACTTGGAACTGAGAAACTCGTAATCAGAAAGTGAGTCAGTGATAACGGATTTCTGGTTAGAAATGAGTTTGAAGAGCCTGCGGTAGCATATTTATCAGCTTCATAAAACTAGATAATAAATAAAACTGAAACCACATTGCAGACTTTTAAAAAGCAGAACCAATTTTCAAATATATTCTGCCCAGCAGTAAGGTTGCTGTCGTATGACTTGGTGGTCATGGTTAACAGAAACAAACTCTTCATTCACAGGCCATGGTATAAGGCTGCATACTAAAGGAAGTTCTAGAAAAGAGTTAAATACCATTGAGAAGAACAAACCTGTAAGTGGGTTTCAACGTTCTGTATTGCAAGTCCTGGCACATTTCTAAGTTGGTGTCTTTGCTTTGGAGGAGCTTCTCATAAGAAAGACAGTAAGTGTTACTCTTATAGCTAGAAGCTACAGCAGAAATAACAAAAATAGATAAACTCAAGTCCAACCTTACCACTGGTTCCTCCTGCCAATTCAACACCTCCGAAGAACTTCATATGCGAATCATAAGTCCGGTTAAGCCTTTTCCTTCCCAGCGCTAACGATTCACTTTGTTTTCCCCCTATTTTATGTTTTTGTTCTTCAATTTTTACACTTTGAAGAGTATGCCCTCCTGTGTTCATGAATGGCTGAAATTCTCTACTGTTATTTACCATAACTTCCTGAGACTGAAGTGCCCCAAAGCCTTTTACATCTTCAGTTACTATTTTTCATCTTCTATCTTCCATAAAGTATACTTTCCACAGAATGCTTAGATCAGAAATTTTAATTTGCTTTCTAAAATACATTTTAGATCAAACAGCTCTCTGGGCGTATTATCATTATCAGTCATAATTACAGAAACAATGAACAGCCAGTGTCAGTTATAGATTGAAATCATGAATGACATTTGTGGTTACCAGTAAAACAAGCCAACGATAATTTGAAAACTTAACGGAAATATACCATGTTTGATAGTTCTCTTATTTTCTTTGTCAACGCATTAATTTACATGTCAGGTAAGTGAACCTTAAGAAGTGCAAGGTTAAGCTCATTCTTCTTCTCCTCAATAATGGATAATGCCTCAGATGCTAGTGAAGCAGTCACAACTAGTAGTACAAGAGAAATAAGGATAAGATAAAAAGTAAATCAATCGAAAATAATAATTATATACAGTGGATGTCATCGAGTTCATTAACAAGTAGTGAGAAGAAATAATATCCTCATAGTTTATCCTCATAAGACAGGAATATGCATCCTATCGGAAAAACTAAACGTGTCTAATAATTGTTTTCAAACTTGTGTCCAAAGCATTATCACGCAAAGTTATGATAACTTAGTATATATGATAGTGTTTACATCCAAAGAAAGCCTTCAAGCATGTTATCTTCGTGTTTCCGTTACATATATTTTGCATTCCTATGTTTACTCCAGCATATCTTCTATACTCCTGCATATCTTTTATCTGTTGAAGCAAATCAAAGTATCATCCGACAAACCAAAAATGCAACTCAATTCTAATTCTTGCAAAACAGAATTTACACAAGTAGTGGAAACAAGCTATGCCATCTACCAGAAAGTCAAACACACAAGGTTGTTCTCTCTCTCCTTTACACAAGATGTCATGCTAGAAACACTTCTATCGTTTCCAGAAAAGTACAACTTTTGAAGTAAATAAATATATATATTTGACTTTGACGACTAATACAAGAAAGAAGTTAATTTAGCAAAATGGCACAATCTTAAATTGAAAATTCCATTCAAAACAAGAATTGCTAAGCTAATTTTTTAAACCTAAATCATAAATCGTATGAAGTTGTAAATTCAAAAGACAATTAAAAAAGCAAAAATATATAATATAAATGATACTCCTTTTGTTTCTTAGGCCTGTGACATTTAATATTTGACTACATAGTCAAGAAAAACATTAATGTTTATGATTTACAACAAATTTATTAATCTTTTTCTACTAGCATCCTTATCATTGTACAAATAACAAATATACAGAAACATTTTTTTTTTTAAGAAAACCGACAACTAAAAAGAAAGAGAGGGAGTCATTGATATAGATAAGTGCCAAGAACACTCTCTTAAATTGGTTGAAAGTTAATAAAAACTACAAAATAAAGAGTGAGAATCATTAAATAAGAGGTGGGTGCCACACATTTTTGTGATTTTAAACAAATTTAACCAATGAGAAAGTGTGTTGAAACGAGGGAAATAGAGAGAGTATTGAAAAAAATGTGTTAGAGACCGTGTTCCTAGCCTTTCTCAATGAAGTATAATTGAACTACAAAGTAATAAGTTTAAACTACAAAGTAAATCATGAAACAAAATCGTAAATCATAACATAACTGAGTGAGTGGGTGAAAACTCTGTTTCACAAGAATAAATATAAAGTGAAACAGAATAAAAGGCATGAAAAGAGTGCACTGTGAAATCCTTGATTTAAAAGAATGAAAATAAAACATTTGAATAATTAAATAAGAGTTGAGTGCATTCAGTAATGAATATTAGTTGTTAATATGTTAGTTGTTAAATAAAATTTGAACAATTTTTTTATCAATGAATATTAGTTGTTAATATGTTAGTTGTTAAATAAGATTTGAACAAATTTTTTTATCAATGAATATTAGACTTCGTATCTCCTTCCATTGAACAATTTATATTAAACTTATGTAACATTTGGTTTCTTTAATAAAAAATGGTGAAACTAAAAAAAGAACAATAAACAGATTAATAATGTGATCTGTATAATTGATATGGAATTGCACTTAATCATCTATCTAAGATTTGAAGTTATCTATGATTCATCATATGATATGAATTGTGTGGGCTACCAAATTCATATTGAATCATAGGATCCAAATCATGAATTGTAAGATTCTAATAATCATGACTACAAGCATAAATATCAACTGACGCAGGCCAATACCTGCTTCTGTAAATTTTAACTTGAGATATCTTATGATCAACCATTGGACTAGCTAACACCTTAATGCATTGGGTGAAGTTCATGGAGATCATTTTGTATGGTGTGCCTCCTTCAAATTTCAAGTACCAGAACAAGAAGGTCCAAATATATGTGTAACATTAGCATTGTATAGTATCACCCGAATGAGAAACCAAATATCAACCACTTATTGATGGAATCATCTCTTCGATTCTTCACCCAAATTGTTGGCAGAGATCTGAGTATAGGTGAAACCTCAAAACTCTGACCAGTTCATCTATAGGCAGGATGCTTACTTAGTTAGAAATATGTCATGCTTAAGATGAATCTACCTCTTCCACCGAAAATTCCCAATTCTGTTTGGTAAGACCCTGAAATTAAAGAGTAATATTATCTGATGAAACTGAAGCACTCGTACTAAATTTCAGTTATTCTAAAGCCATTTTCAAGCCTGACCAAATAGCTAGAAAAATAGGTTGAATGATTTGTTGACAGGGTGAAAATTCTCTTCGACCTGCTAGATTACCACAGTTTGATCCAAACTGCTAAACTCTATGATTATCAAACATAGATACCAATAAAAGTTAGTGGTGGGATTAAACTTTGCTACACTTCAATCCCAGTATTTATTTAGCCCTGACCCAATGTTATGGGCAAAGTTTTTCAATGAACAATCTTCTGACGATTAACAATCAACAACAACATGAAATCTAAAGCTCAAGCTCTGAGATTTTATGATAGAGCTACCTGCCATTACTTGTAGAGAACACTAAAATCTACAATTTTGTAAAAGCAAAATAGTAACCCTGCTGTTTCAATGTCAAAACAATTTTTTTATGCAGACCGCAGTAGGACTAACACTAAAAGCAAGAATTTGACAAGAATATTATCATCATTGTACACTGTTGTTTACACGATACAGTTTCTTCTGAATGCAATCCCTTGGTTCTGGCTATATAAAAGACATACAGTATAATCTAGACAATAGTTTTAGTTGGACAATAGCAAGAACTCAAAGACTGAGAATAACTACTATTTCAAAAGAGACAATTAGATCTAAACCGGACTAAAACAACAAAAAGACAAACTGATAAAATAATCAAATCTTGCCTCTGGAACTCATATAGAGCAGGGTAATGAAACCTAGTATTTGAGTACATACATGTATTCACTAGCCTAAAATCTACTATAACATAATTATAAGATTTTCTAGTCACTTGTTAATATTTCGCCTAAACTCCTAATGGTACTAGGCGATCCAAAGCACATAGAACAAGCCCTGACTAACTACAAGCTGTTCCATCCAGCTGCAGCTACTCAACAAGTCTCTAGGCTTCAAGAGATCTCCTTCAAGAGTTAGGGGATTCGAACCCACAACTTGGGAAGGTGAGAGTTTGCTCGGGATCCTTAATCATTAATCGCTTGCATGAACCCACTGTTGTCACCAACGAATCAAGTAGATAAACTAAACCAAGCTATCGACACTAGAATTTTCACCCACAAGTCGATACCTGTTCGTGGCAAAGACAGAGACTTTGCGGTGGAACAGAAGCACCCACAAGGGATCCATTCAATGGCCCTCATCTTGTTGCTCAGATTTTCTCTTGCCACTTGTCAATATCAACGACGGCATGCAAACTGCGATTGCATCAGCCACATTCTTCACAATGTCAAGGATAGCCATAAACCACAACTATGACGGTAACCCTCTGATTGAATCCAATGTTCATGCCTTCTAAATTTGGATTCTGCTCCAAATTTGTCCTCTAATTGATATAAAAATGAAATTACGACAAAATAATGGAATCTTTATAGAGTTTTACAGGCTCTATTTTTTCGGGCAAATATCCATTTCTTCTTTACTTTTAATTTAAATATTCATTCTATTTCATTTTTAAAACATTCATTTTTTTTCCTAGACTGTGTTCATTTTCTAATAGAATTGAAAAACAACATTAAAAATACCTATAATATTGTATCTACTATTTATCCATCATATTTATAAGGAAATATAATTAAAATTAGAATATCGATCCCTCACGAAGTTCAGAATAGGAATCTTATCTTCGTAAATACATGACTTTTTACTTTTAATTATTATATTTTTTATATTGTAGTATATGTAAATATATATACTGTTCTTGCTTTTAACAAAGTGATTTTTTTTCGTTATTATATGAAAAGGAAGAGAAACAATTAAAATGACTTTTGAGAAAATGATTGAGACTATGAAGCAATTAAAATTAGAAACAGAAGCAACATTGTTTGAGAAGTGTGAATAAACAAATATGGAGAAAAAATGGTCTGTGAGAAATGTGATGAAGTGGTATATTAAAAGAAGATGGTTGCATGGTGCTGTTGCAAAGCAAATCCTATACACGGAGAAAAAGTACAAAAAAATGAGTGTCCCTATTATATACTATCGTCTGGACAAGGGCATAGAGTGATGAGTAGGTTTTTGTCCCAATTCCTGCATGTGCTCCACATACTATCAGACAAATCCGGGCCCTGCACGGTTGCACATTCATTAGAGTCAACTCATTTGTCTCCCCCAATATCATTAATAACAAATAACCCTTTTTTGTTTTTGTCTCTTTCCCCTTCATAAACCACAATTTTTTTTAATTAATCCTCATTTTTTATGCCTACCCTTTTGTCTTTCATCTTTATATATTATCTTCTTTTCCTTTTCTTTTCGCATACCACTTTTACTTTTGTCAAAATCAACTTTTTAGTATGACATATGAACTTATTCATCCTATAATTCATTATGAAAATTTTAAAAGTATTATCTATAAAATTGATTAAATCAACCAATAATCGTACAGACATAAATGTAAATGTCTTTATTTTAATATTGTTCAACAACCAACCACTATAGTTAGTTCTTGATCACTACTACTTCAAAGCCACCTCAAGAATTGTGAAGTAACTTCATATGTATGTATATATAGATATCATATTATCATTGGAATAGGATTATATATGATATGATTATGGAGATCTACACCTAGAACCTACCTCTCTCCTTCTCCTTCCCTCACTCTCCTTTTATATATACTATTCCTATTCCACTCCTCAATTCTCCACCGAACTCCATTATTTCCATTCCCTCATTTTCACTTTCTCATTGCATCATTATCACTGCTACACATTAAATTCATTCCCTTTTCAAAATGGGCACACAGGTGCAGCAGCTAAGGAGGTTCAACTCAATGGAATGCAGGCCCAGAATGCTGAAGGACTTTCTCAGCGACAACCTAAACTCTTGTTCCTCAAGCGGTTTCAAATCACTTCCAAGAACACCAACCACCATGCACACCCTCATAGAAATGGAACTCAACTCATCATCACCACCTTCAAACTCACCCTTCCAAACACTCATCAACACCATAAGAAGCATCTCTTTCTTCACCTCAATGAGAAAATCGCCCTCCGTACTTTCCCTTCCCAGAAGCCTCTCTCGCAAACTGTCATCTTCAAGGAGGAGAAGAACCAGAAGCCAAGGGTGCAACGATATCAGCATCACAACGGTGAAGATCAAGGACATCATACGGTGGAAATCGTTCAGGGACATTGTGGAACCTCCACCACCACCACCACCGTTGGATTTCGTGGTGGACCCCACCACCACCACCACCACCACTTGGAGTGTCAGCAGTGGCTCTAGTTGGAGTGACAGTGACTTTTTAACCTCTTCATGGGAAGATCCGCAAAACGACAGCGTTGAAGCGGGTAAAAGGTTTTCGTTTTCACCCCTTGTTGTCGGCAAGGACCCCGGCGCCACGGTGAGCAATAATTTACTGCCACAAGCATTCGTGTGTCTCTTGTTATATTTGATTCTCTTCTTTCTTTCTTTTTTCTTTTTTTACTTTTCATTTTGGAAATTCCATTTTTAATTTTACAAATTATCATATAAGGACAAAAAAAATGGAGTTTGGTGTGATAGAAAGTTGAAGAACATTGTTCCTGGACAGTATTTTTTTTTTTTCTCCTGTCGGTGGACAGTTGTGCAACACTTTTTGACTGGGTTTTTATAATTTTCTGGTTAAGACAATATTTTTCAGTTTTTTTTATTTCACTCTCATATTTTAATAGAGATTTTAATGTGATTTATTTAGTCTAACATAGGCATATATATATATGGTCTTTATAGAAAGGAATTGGTAATGACTATAAGACCCTTCAAACATTTTGCAAATTATCCTGCTTATTTTATTGTAAATTTTAATTGATCTGTTACATTGTCTTTCTCCTTCTTTATTTTAACAATGCTAGTTATTATATACTTAACAAATAAATGGATAGTGATAGAAGACTATCTAATAATTTTTTGTTAAAGGGGTCATCACAATTTGTTTACTTTAATACTAATTTTGATGCACATTGTTTACTGGGATTATATTTTTTACTGATAAATATGCAATCTTGATAGGAAGCGTTAACAAGCCAAGAAGAACAAAACAGTCCAGTTTCTGTTCTTCAGGTTGGAGAAGATGAATTCTCTCCTTTTGATCAAAGCCTTGCTAATATTCAAAGTGAGTTCCTTCTTTCCCTTCAATTGTCTCTTTAAAGTCCTAAATCATTAACCAACACATTCTATAGACCAATCAATTGTATGTCGGGATAATTGGATAAATAATCATCTGAAATAGAAAATTGTATTAAAAGTATTTGATATCTAATTTAAAAAATAGAAGAAGAAAACCGTGTTGGAAATTATATGTCGACTTATAGTATATTAACAAGGTATACTAACAAAGATTGTAACTCTAAAATCAAATTCTATTAAAAGTATTTGATATCTAATTTGCTTTTAACCTTTTGACTTTTGAGCAGGGAGAAAGCAGAAGTTCATACAAACAGTTCAGAAATTGGAGAGTCTTGCAAAACTTGACCTTGCAAACTTAGATCAATGCCTCTCATTGAATGACAACTCTGTCTATGATGAAGAGTATGAAGATGATGACGATGATCGTACTAATAAGGACATTGGAGAACAAGATTGGAGTGAGGAAAAGGCACAGCAGCTGCTACATTGTGTGAAAGCAAGATGTTCAGCACATGGTTGTAAAGACTATTTGGATACACTTCTGTTGGATTTTTTCAGCGAAGAACTAAGTGGAAGTAGAAACCAATATAAGAATGAAGAAGACTTTGAGTTGGAGACATTGAGAATAGCTGAGGATTGGATAAACGGGTCATGTGCTTTTGATTCAGGGCATGCTGATAAAGAATCTTATATCAAGGACATGGAAAGGAGAGATCAGTGGAGTAGGTTTAAGGAGGAACAAGAAAAACTAGCCTTTGAAATTGAGAAAGCTATATTTCATACTTTGATTGCTGATCTCCTTGACCAAGATGGTTGATAGTTTCGATGTTCAAAGCTATAAATATCTTTGTCTACCTCTTCACTTCAAAAAGGGTATTCTTGAATGTAAATTCTACATTTCACAATAAAAAGTTTGGACCAAGATATTCAGAAGGTGCAAAAAGTTAGATCCTAAGCCAAGTTCTTTAAGATCTCTGAGCCTTTAGCCACACTGGCCTACTTGTCTTGGATCACTTGAAGCCTATAACAGAACATGGACCTACCAGCCAAGCCAGAAAAACAATGAATTCCTAGTAACCAAGTGCAGACGAATGCCTCGATTTGTGGTAACAAAAGATAAAGGTCACATTTTGATGAGTTTTGGATACTCTCATATGAAAGGGTAGTGACTAGTGTGAGTGGCTTGTACTGTACTTAAAGTTAGTTATGGCTTAGATTTTGGACTTTGGAGTGTAGCATAGTAATCAGTGATTTCAAGGCATAACTCATGCCTACTCTTGTTAAGGTACAGGTTCTTAAGAAGTATATTTGTTGTTTGTTCTACATATGTAAAGAAATCAAACTTAGAACAGTTTAAATACAAGGCATTTCTACAACTGCAGCTAAAAATCAGAGTATTTGTGTATAATTATTATAAAACTTTTAGATTAAACATGTAATCTGATCCTTTTGCAGTTTCAAGTTTCTTCATCTGGAACCCCTGAATTTCAGTTTACAAAACATTCTTCAAGAACAATTTTTCTTTGTAGGACAACTTTTGCAAATTTGTTGTGTATTTCATTTTTTAATATGTTTTCAAAATAGCATCGGTTATTGAATTGAACCAGTTAAAGTATTGATTTAGGCAAAATAATATTAAAAATATATACTATCATAAAATTATAATGTTAAATAAAATAAATCATAACTTTATATAAGAATAATGGAAACATTACATAAGAAATTTAAAGAATTTGATTCACAAATGAGACTACTATTTTTATAATCACTTCATCATTTAATGCATTAAACAATAAGCAAACGTATCAAATTTTAAAATATATTTATCATTTTCTTTTGAAGTAACCAAAATTAAAAAAAAAATCCATTAATTTAGCTCACAAATCAAACAATTATTTTTTTAGTCACTTAATACATAAAAAAAATTATAATAATTTTAAAAATATATGTTATATTTTAGTATATATTTAAAAATTAATTTAATAAATTACTATAAATAGAGTTACAAATTTTAAAAAATAAATTTAAATATGTGTTTACCTTAAGATTGATATGAGTTTATAGGGTTGCCATTGTATTTTTTCTAACTTTTTATTCATGTATTTGTATTTGAGTTTTTTTTTTATATGTTTACATTAAATATAATTGAATTATAAATATCTTTATAGAGCTTAGTCAAATATATATATATATATATATATATATATATATATATATATATATATTATACAAGAAAATCAATTTCTTAATGCCAAACTATGGTTTGGATGCCCAAAAAAGAATAAGAGTATTGCCAAAAACCCCTTTTCTTTTATTGACTAACTACACGTTTTTACCCAAAACTCAACGCATAATTAATATCATTTAACATGATTTTTCTGAGATTCGTTGAAATTAAAACAATATCATACAAAAGAAAAATACAACCATGTTTGATATTTCTATCTTTTTATTTAATTATGTGATTACGACGTTTACCAAATATTATTCCCAATTGTTGCGTGAGGCAAGTGGATGATCCTATCATTATTTTGATAAAACTTAGACAAACACTCAATTTAAATAAATAAATTATTAGAGCTAATTGAATCATAAAAAAATATCCAATAATTACTAATAAAAAAAATCTTTCAATCATTTTCGTTTTATTTTTAATACATAATTAGTCCTTAAAATAATGGAGAGGAATTTTAACGAGGGAAAGGTAGAAATATCTGTTTTTTCTTTTCTTCATCGTTTGACGGAGAGAAAAGAAAAAACAATAATTTATTTATTACATACTTGAATTCTAAATTGTAACAGTTTAATTAATGATTTTTAATATGTTAAATTAAGTTTTATATTAGAATTCGCTTTACCCTTTACATTTTTTTCTGGGAAAACTTCACCAATTTTCAAAAATGCATTTATCACACAACAATATAAAAGTTTAATTAGAATGTATTGTCAGAATTTGTTTACAGTTTCAATTAATTGCGAATATACATTTTTTACGCTAAATACACTAAGGGTATATTCAAGTATCATTTCAAAATTAAATGAAACAGAATAGGTTTCAAAATATTCCTAACTACAGTATTCATAAAAATGATTCATGGAAATTTATAATATTGGATTTTTCTGAAACACGCCCAGAAAACAAATATTTTTACTCATGTTAAGTGTGGACTACATTGTTTGTAGTTGTACAGCTATACACCCACGTATGATTGAACATACGATAACCACATTTATACAGTGTCTTGTTTGTCTGCGTAATATTTTTGTCTCTGTCTGATTGTTGGAAAACGAGGCTCACACATGCAAACTTTCTTTCCTTGAACACTGGCTTTGGGGTTGAGCGTAGCAGAAGAAGCATTGATGTCAAACGCAGAGCAAGCACGTACTTTATTTGGAATTTCTCTCTCTCATAGACCCAAATGGCAACAGTTCTTCATTTGCTCTTCAGGCTTCTTCTTTGGATATCTCGTTAATGGCATATGTGAGGTACTTCATATATATGTATAGATACCTACACAGTTGGCTGGTATTTTCTTCAATATATATATGTACTTTTAAACTGCTAAAACGCCAAAAGCCTTAGTCTTTCATATTTTCTTGATCTAGCTAGGTGCATCAGGTATGGGAAACACATGGAGAAGAAGAAAAAAAACATGAGTTGATTATTTTTGGCTGTTTCTGGAAACAGTTTAAGTTGTTGTTGTTTAAATATATTTCCTTTGTTTCTTCATATATAACAGGGTAACTGGCTAGGAGATTAATCATGTTTTTGCTCCAATGATTTTCTGTCTTTTTGGAATTTTCATTTTGGGCTTCAGTTGTGCAATTTCTGATAGTAACTCAAGTCAATCGTCCAGATACATGTGATTTTTTTTTTCCTTTTTGTTTGATGCCTCTAAATACTTGCAATTTTTGGTATGTGGAAGTTATCCTGGAAATGACTGTTTGCCATTGATTGTTTCTCTTATGCCTGACCTTCAGGAATATGTCTATAACAGGCTTCATTTTAGGTAAATTTCATAAATTCAGTACTTCTTTTATTGGGTGTCTTTGTTTTTTGTAATGAAATAGTTGAGAGTTGACTTGGTTTATTGTTTCAGCTATGGCTGGTACTTCACATTTGTTCAAGGATTTGTTTACTTGTTTCTGATTTATCTCCAAGGCTTCACAAGCAAGCAAATGGTGAACCCATGGAGAACTTATGTGAAGCTTTCTGCTGTGCTTATGGGGTCCCATGGCCTAACAAAGGGATCTTTGGCTTTTCTGAACTACCCTGCACAAATCATGTTCAAATCAACAAAGGCAAGTGACAAAAAGGCACAAGGGAAAAAAAGTCAGAGTCATTATTGAATTGTGCTGTCTCAGTCCCTTAAACTGGGTTATTTTGGAATATTCAAATGTAATGAGAATCATCAACTTTGTTACTTTAGGTTCTTCCAGTGATGGTGATGGGTTCCTTCATACCAGGTCTAAGAAGGAAATATCCATTTCATGAATATGTATCTGCTGTTCTTCTGGTGATTGGCTTGATCCTGTTCACACTAGCAGATGCACAGACATCACCCAATTTCAGTGTCATTGGTGTTGTTATGATATCTGGTGCTTTGATCATGGACTCCTTTTTGGGAAATATGCAAGAAGCAATCTTTACAGTGAACCCTCAGACCACACAGGTGATTTAATTTCTCTGCTATTCCCTAAATTAATATCATGCATTTGTAAATTTGAGACTATTTAGTTGCATAGTATTAGCATAATAGGTGATTTTCTTGTTCCTCGTTAACATTCAGATGGAGATGCTTTTCTGCTCAACTGTGGTGGGTTTGCCTTTCTTAATCCCTCCCATGATTTTTACAGGAGAGTTATTCAAAGCATGGACTTCATGTTCACAGGTGCACTTGAAAATTAGAAAAACTTGTTCCTTTTTCCATACTTGACTTTTGCTGCTTTCTTCATAAAGTCACCTTATCTTTTTATTGCAGCATCTTTATGTGTATGGAGTGTTAGTGTTTGAAGCAATGGCCACATTCATAGGCCAAGTTTCTGTGCTGTCACTCATTGCCATTTTTGGGGCTGCCACTACAGCCATGGTAAATTAGTCTCACAAGTTTTCCTAGTTCCATTATGTTTCGTTTGGACTTTGGACCACTAATTACTCTTTTATGTCATCTTAACTTGGCTTGATAAAATAGATGAAAAAAAAGAAGCACCATACTGTCAATTAAATATTATAAAATGATCAATGCTTAAAACATCTTGTAACTAAAAATTCTGAATTGGAATTGAAAATTGATTTGGATCAAGACAATTAATTGTTCTGTTCAAAATTCTCACCCATTTTATAATCAATGCTAAAGCTTTCACAACATGAATCCAATAGTAAACCCTTTTTGTGGTTCTAACTGAGGTTATTTCTTCCTGGAATTTTATCACAGATAACAACTGCAAGAAAGGCAGTGACATTGCTACTATCATTCCTCATATTTACCAAACCACTGACAGAACAACATGCAACTGGACTTCTACTCATAGCTATGGGGATTTCGTTGAAGATATTTCTTGATGACAAATCTAACAAAAAGAGCACAAATTCTTCTCCCATTGTCAATATTCCAAAACCTCCTGAGGATAAACAACTTACTGCACAATTAGATTATGCAGGAGAAGATGAAGAAAGGAGGTCATTGGTCTAACATTGTCAGATACAATTTAATCATGAAGTTCATAAAAATATACCTTGATGTCAAGTCAGAACATTTTATACATTTGAACACTCTTCACAATAAGCTACTAGGATTCAACAAGGAATGGCTAGTGAGGGACTTATGTAATTGTATGAAGTCTTTATATACCTCATTGCTAATTATTGGAATAAAAGTTATATTTATATATATATATATATATATATATATATATATATATATATATATATATATATATATATATATAAAATCAAGCATTTGACCTTAAGTTCGTTTAGATAGTAAGTTTATTTTTATATAATTTGATAAAAAATATTTACGATGGAGAATGATTTAGTAATATATTATTATTTTAAGGTAAAATTTGTTTGTGTTGTTTTATATTTTTCTATTTTTCAAAATATATGAATTTTTTTCAGAAAATTTGGATGGAGAAAAAAATATTAAAATGACGAAGATATTAATAAAAAAATTAACAAACTTATTAAAAATAATAAAAATTAATATTTATTTTATTTGTGTAATATAATCTTAATTGTTATATATTTTAAAATAAAATATAATATAATAAATTTATTTTTTAATTCTTAAAAAAAATCGTATATTTTTTGTTTTTATTGAATTAAAATATGTCAAATTTGATATCTTTACTAAAATAATGAATGAATGTTACTTCTAAAATGTGTGTGTATATATTCAAATTATATTATAAATATTAAGAATAATGATTCATACCGTTTTTTTAACGAATTAAACATACAAATTTGAAAAAATTATTATTATTATTCATAATATAATTTCAACATATTATTACAAATTTAATATAGAATTGTATATATACATATTTAAGAAGCAATACTTTTTATTTTATTGACCATCACCAAATTTTTAGGAATACTATATTATAAAATATTTAGAATAATAGTTTTTATTTTTTACAACGCTCCATATATAATTTTTATTGAATTAATTATTTTTAAATTAATTGAGATATTTATTGAAAAATATTTATAAATATTTATATATATATATATATATATATATATTAAATTAAAAAATTTTAATATTAGTAAGTTAATTAATTTAATCACATAAATAGAACCTGTGACAATACTAAAGTTACATTGATATACATTAAACTAATTAATCAATCAAATAGTATATTTTTTATAAACCTGTTATTAATTACTAGTTTTTCCAATAATTAAATTGTGCATATGACATTGTTTTAAATTTAATATGTAAATATAAAAATAACATTCTATATATGATCATCGTAAGTACAAGTATATATTAAATAAAAAGTTTTAATTTCTATTTTTCCCGATTTTCATTTTGTTCATTCTTTAATTTTTTTTTCATTTTACATATGGCTTTAATAATTATCAATGTAAAAAATTATATTATTGAAAAGTTATTTTCATTTTTATTAAGTGAGTCTAAAATATTTAAAAAATTGAAATAAATTCAAACCCATACCAATTCAAGTTACGTTAAATTTAGTTCATTTTAATTAATTTTTTGCACATATAAATTTTATTTTAAATTTAATCCAATTAATGGAATATTTATTTAGAAATTGTTGTTTGGACCTTGATCAAGTCCACCATGACATTAATGAAGAGTAGGTGGTGTAACCTAATACTAATTTCATTAAGTGTGAGTCTAAGACATATTTTTAATTCAAACTTGAAGAGATAATTTTTTTTCTTAATCCTAATTGAAGAATGTTTGACTTTGCTTAGGTTAAAAAATCTTTAGTTAATCTAGATTAGGGCTTTTTAACTTAATCTTCATTTATAAACTTTTTAATTCAAAAGAATTTTTGGCTGATCAACTCTGACAATAGAGTCTTTGAGTAACTTTTGAGACATAGTTTTGAAGTATCATCCTGTGAGGAACTTTAAATTTTAAGTAGAACCCGTACTATATAATATAACTTCTATATTATATACCTTTTAATTATTATATTTTAATAATTATTATTATATTATTTTAATAATAAGTAATCATATTAATAACATAAATAATAATTATGTATATTAAAATTAGTATTAATTATAATAATAATTTTTTATACTATTAATCATAATAATTGTATAATAATTACTAATATAATATTTTATTTATTATTACTTTATTATTATAATTAATAATAATATTTATTATTTTATTATTATAACTAATAACAAATTAAATAATGATAAGTATGTTTATATTTTTAATATAATTAATAACAAGATAATAATATTAATAATTATAATTATATTATTATTTATTAATATGATTTAAGTAATAATATTAATAAATTAATATACTAATTATTAATTTTAATAATAATATAAATTTAATTATTATTATTATTATTATTTTATTATTAATAATATAAATAGTATCATTAATAATTATAATAGTATAATAATAATTATAATATAAAAAAAGTCTTATTACCATGATATTTGATTTATTTATTTTTAAGTCCAATATTAAATTCTGTTATTTTTTAAAAAATAATATAAAAATTGTCTATTGAAATATGATTTCTTTATTTTAAAGTTGTGGATAAATAAATAAAAATACCGAAAAAACATTATCACTGTAAAATATCCTAAACTTCCATTATCTTGTCTTTATATAATTTATGTTATAAAATAGAATTTTGAAAAAAAAATAACGATGAGATTCTAAATTATTATTATTATTTTATTAAAGAATAAAATATGTAAGACATGGATAAAATATATGCAGAAAAGCAAAGTGGTATCTAATTATATAAATATATATTAATTAGAGTGTTGATTTTATTTATAATTTTTTTTTTATCTTCCTAAACCCAAGGTATTTTTGCATAGGTTATAGAGTAAAGATGATTAAACTGAATTTTACTTTTTTTAATAAAGATTTTTATATGTACTCAGAAAATCAAATTTATAAACATACTGAAAGAATTTAATTACCTATCAATTATGGTGATCTTTCCTAATACAGATTTAATAGAAATTGAAAATATTGATGATGAACTTGGGAAATTTATTTTATTTATAAATCGTCCCTATCAATCGCTATGCAACAAATTTCTGAATTAGAATTTGCATATGTTCTTCTTTGGTGGCTGAGGCATATCCTAAGCACTCAAATTAAGGCCCTATAAACTAGTCAATATCCCACCCATTCACAGCCCTTCTTCGAATAATCATTAAGCCCTAAGCCAACAAAAGCCAATCCAAATCCTGCCTCCATTCACTTTTTCGGCATCTTCATCATTGCTTCTTCTTTTTTTAAGTCCTATTTCTCTCTCTCTCTCCCTCTCTCTCTCTCTCTCTCTCTCTCTCTCTCTCATATATATATATATATATATATATATATATATATATATATATATATATATATATATATATATATATATATATATATATATATCTTTCTACATATAATTATTACTCAGGCATTGACCCAACTGCTCAATAGTCACTATGTAAAGATTAATTTATTTATTTTTCTAATCTTACCATTTATTTTTAGAGTTTAATTTTAACATTAATTACGTTACTAATTAATAAAAAGCACCTGTACCTATTTTTTTTTTTATCATTTAGATATGTCTCATTATATTCATTATATATTAAACTTCATTTTTTTTTCTGTGTTATGAGACAAAAATATTATCGGTTACAGTTTTTTTTTTCTATTTTTAAATGAATCTTACACTATTTTTTTAATAATTCTACATAATATATTTTTTCTTCGATAAGTGTTATAAAATGAGGAATACTTGTATTATATATATATATATATATATATATATATATATATATATATTAATAAAAACACATAGGTATCATTTATGTGTTCATATTTTTATATATTAATTTGTTATCAAATATTTTTTAAATTTTATTTTTTCAGTAATTATGTAATTTTTTATATTTTATATTTTAAATATATAAATTATAATAATTATTTTTTTAATATGACATTTTTATTTTTCTGGCATGGATGATAAAAAAACGGTTAAAAAATCATTTTTATATACAATTAGTTAAAACACATCTATATTGTAATATTGTTTGTTCCTATTTTTCATAATTATTTTTTTAGTTTTATTTTATTATTAATTTCTCATTCTAAATTTTATGTTTTTCTCTATTTATTATACTTTATATTTTCTTTTCTCTATGTGACCGACAAGAAAGGTTATATTTTTTTCTTCCTGATCTTTAAATGATGATTATAAATATTATTATAGGTTATATTAATATAATGATAATAATAATAATTAATATTATTATATTAATACAATAATAGATTGTTAACTGAGTTTATGTTATGTTTAATGGTTCATAAACTAATAAATTCTTTTTGTGTGAATCATAAATATAATATCAAATTAAATCATATTAATGATACAGTATTACTATAATCAACCATTTAAATATATAAAAAAATAAATTTTGTTAACAATTTTATAAATATATTTATGTATATATATGATTAATAATGTTAAAATGAGCGAATTTTGTTTTAATGCGTCTCATTTTTAATATATCAAAATCGGAGTGAAACGGAATAATCTATCATAGTTAGAATATATTATAAATCTTAATTTTTCTTGTCAAGGTAGTACATTACTATTTTTTTTCTATATAATTTTTTTATATAAAATTATGTTATATTTATTTTTTAAAATATATTTTTAATTATATAAAAAAATTAAATTTTTATTTATTAACTAATATTTTATTATATAAATTAAAAAATTATTATATTTATATATTAAAATAATTAATTATAATCAATAATTTAGATTTAACTGATTACTTTTTATAATTTAATTTATAATATTAAAATATATTTATATATTTTAATAAACTAATAAAAAATATAATATTTGTAATTATAATCATTTTTATTTTTATTTTTATTTTAATATATTAATATATTTTTAAAATGTACCAGCAAATCACTTCACTCTATCTTATACCTTATTCTGTCGAATTCAAATGAAATAGAGTAAAACTAAGGAATTAAAATGAAGACGTATTTTTTCCAAGTGTATCCGAACCCATTTTGTGTTTATGTACGTGGGGGCATGATTCCTAGGTCATTTTTAGACGTTTTGGTAGATAATAGATTTGGCCTGTATGATGAGCAAATTTGGCAGACACCTAGGACACTTCCCTTGGTTTTGCAAACCCCAAGTTAAAAAAACCACAAGAAAAGAAATTCATAAAGACAAAACGGACTTATAAAGGTAGTTTGGCTCAAAAGAGAAGGTGATTGAATCACATAACACCACTTTTCCCCTTTTCTTCTGCCTCATCCCTCTTCCAAATAACCGCAAAAAGTGACCCTCTCACACCCCTCACGCCCCATTTTCCTCTTTATAACTTCCAAGCTCTCTTCTTTCCCACACCCCATTATTCTCTCTCTTTCTGTGTAAGTGATGTCTTCGAACCCCAGAAAGGGACTGGCCTTCAGTTCAAAGGCCATAGCTGATGCAGCTTCATGGTACTGTGCCTTTGTTCTTGTGGCCCTTGTGCTCCTAGGCATGTTCAAAGACAGCTCCATGTTTCCGAGCCATGCCAACCTCGTAGTCAACCAACTCCTGTCTCGGCCATGCGAGGAAATCTATGTTGTTGGGGAAGGTGAGACACTTCACACAATAAGTGACAAGTGTGGTGACCCTTTCATCGTTGAGAACAACCCTCAGATCCATGACCCCGATGATGTCTTCCCTGGCCTCGTTATCAAGATTACACCCTCACTTCATGGCTAGAAGTTAAGGAAGAACCGATTATGCAAGAGGAATATATAACCTTTTTTGTTTTTTTTACTCTATTCCTTTCTTGATTCTTGTATATAACTTCTCAAAATCCACATGAAATTGGAACACTTCTCATATTGTCGGTGGCAGAAGCTAGTTGTTCTTGATAGGTTTGTTGTCCTACTAGCGCTTGAAACTTGGAACTGTAAAATGTTATACACCCTTTAATATGTTTTTTTAAAATACTTTTTTTTTAATAATCTTTAAATATAAGCATGTATTATTAACTATGTGTTACAAAATTGGCACTATATAATTAACTTGGTACAAGATGATTTCAGAATTTTGCTATGAATTGATTATTTAAAACTTTAACGAAGAAAAAAACAAATATACCTAGTTAATAGAAATCACGAGAAGAGTGTCCTATACGCCTTCTCGCAATTTCTTTTCACTAAAAAACAATATTTCTCTTGAATTTATTCATGTTGCTCAAGACTCGTTTTCACAATTTGGGACCAAAATGATGGAAACGTCCATTGAATAATATGAACGAGTTTATTGCAATGGGTTGATGCGTTTATTTCCGTTTTTGTTTTACATAAAAGTTAATGTGACCTACCTATATTCTCACGTTAACCCTCCTTCTTGCTGGTTACGTTGTCCTCCACTCTTTACGTGAAGATAAACTGTCATGTTATTTTAGGTTAATTATATTTAGGAAAGTTCAATTCACACTACAGAGGTTAGATCAAGTGGGTTGTTCCATTCTCCTAACTCAATTTAATAATAATAAAAAATTCATGCGAAATTATGCTCTTCGTCAATCTCACATCGTTTAAAATCAAAATTAAAATTAAAAACAATATATATATATATATATATATATATATATATATATATATTTCTCTTAACTCACCAAGATATTTTTTACAGATAAAATTATAATAAATTAAAATTTTAAATGATAAAATATTTTTTATATGAGAATTTATCATTCCAAAAGAAAAAAAATCAAATCTTTATAATTTTTATCACTAAAATTTATTGAATATTGTTAAAACGGTGTATAAATTATTATGAGTCAAAAAATTTGGTGTATTTTAATTATATCATTATTAATTTAGAAATGAAAATATATAAAATAAAATAGTTTAAAAGACTTTCTAGAAAAGAAAAAATTATGCTTGTACATTTCTTTAGTTTATTCTTTTGGATGTAGTTTAGGTTTATACAATGAAAACTTTAGATTCACCTCTTGAGAAATTGAGCGTTCAAAAGGAAAAAATAAAAATATTTTTTTTTAATTTAAATTAAAATAAGCGATATACACTATTAGGATATAAACTCATAAAAAAGTGTTAATAAAGTTTGAAATGCTTTCTGAAATTAAAAATGAGTTTAATGATAGTGTACTTTTATTGTACAAACTTTTACCATGTTAACCAATAAAAAAACTGTTAACACTTTCCAAATTAAATTTTACATATTGCACTATGACTTTCAGAACAACTAATAATTTTAACTTGTACGTTTAACAATAATTAAGATAAAATGTTTATTTTTATATAATTAAAACTTATAATAAATAAATATATTTTGAATATAATTAATAATTCACTTTTAAATAAAAAATAATAATTATGAAAAAATATATTTCTCCTCTTTTTAAATATATTTATAACAATATTTCTATTATTAACTATAATTATTTGTTAGAAATATTAACTTTTAAAAATAAAACAAAGATGTATGTATATATATATATATATATATATATAAAGTATACAAAGTTATCTTAGTTTCTTCTATTATTATTGTTAAAATGATGTCCAAAATTTTTAATTTTTATCTTAAAATATGGTTTTGAAGTATTTGAAAATGATAACAATATAAATTTTATCAGCTTCTCTTGTTATTGTCAATATAAAAAATGAGAATTAATGATGTGTATGAAAGTTATTTTTCATTTTTATGATGTGATAGACCAAATTTAAGGACCCTAGTGATGCTAAAATATATACAAAACTTAATTTTTTCAGGAAGTGAACAAGAAAGATAGGAAAATCTTATTTATAATTCATCAAAATGTTGATACAATTATCTTAAAAAGGTATTAAGGACAAGTACAACAAAGGAAAAATAGATATTGGTGCAAGATTCTCTCAAGACGCTAAAATTTTGAAAAAAGGTGAAGTTAGGTATCTTTAAGAAACATTATGAGATGTTAAATATGAATATGTTAAACATAAATTGTTTTATCCCTCTATTCTTTTTAAAGAAGGTAATAACTTTGGACATTTTTAATAGGAATAACTTATAAGTTGTTTCTTATCTTTAAAAATGTAAAATAGAGATTTATAATATCATATCATTTTTAATCAACTCTCTATTGATTTTATTTTATTTAAATTTTTCTTAATAAATTTTAAAAATTTGAGTCTTTTTCCTCATTTACTTTGATTTGCTTATTTTTGTAAGTTGTTTGATGAAATCATTATATAAAAAAAAATTAAGTACTTATCAAGGCTACATAGGTTTCGTCTCATGAAAAATTACTTTAAATAATTAATATTTTATTTAACATTTCAATAAAAAACTCTTATTAAATATGCTCTTATATGCATTTAGAAGAATTTCAATAACTATTGATGTTTTCTCTTCTTTTACTTTCTTTAATGATTTTTTTATAATATAAAATTATCTTTAATGTCTTTTTTGCCTTTAAAACTTTTCAAAAAAATATAAATTATTTATTAAAAGACTACCATATATCTTTAATAAAGTGAGAAGAGAAATAATTAATTTTAATATTTATAAAATAATTCTAGTTATTTTTATATTTTTTAAATCTAATAATTATTATATTAGAAATCTTTACATAATAAATTTAAATATTATATGAGTCAATATTAAATTAAAATAATTTAATATTTTTTTATTTGACTCATGTGATAACTTAAATATCTAATATTAAACTTTAAATTTGACATTATATATTAAAGTTATCAAGTCATTGTTTTTATTGAATTAAATTATATGATTGGATCATGACTATTACAACTTATATATCCAACAACAGGATTCCTTAATTTGTCATTCAAGAAATTAAATTTAACTTAAACTAATATTGTAAAATGTATATTAATTTTTAAAAAAAGATAAACCTTGTCATTGCATTAAAGAGAAAGCAATAATATGCATACTATGTAATGTGAATGATAAAATAGATAGAAATATAACCATAACTAAATTAACAAGTGTCAACATGATCAGTAATGCATACTCTTTCAATAAATTTATTGGGAGATAAACCTTTAATTAATGAATTTACTATCATTAAATATGTATCAAATGTTCAATTGATACATTTTATTTTTATATTTCTTTTTTAACTTAGAAATACTTCAAATCCATATAACTTACACTTTCAAGTATTTATCATTCTTAAAAAAAAGAAACAACTACAAAATTATCACAATAGTTCCTCAATAATCTAATTATACTATTGACAATACTAAATTTCAATAAAGTTCTATAACCACAATGCTTGAATTGTTGTCTTCAAGTATGTCAGAAATTCAATCTCATGATAAAATCACATATTATTTTGCACTTTTTCAGATCATGCTTCTCTAGCTAAAAGAAAGTTGTATCTAAATGTAAGTTTGCACATCTAACAAAATTTGAATCTAAATAGGTAATCACTTCAAGGTGATTTAACATTTTCTATACAAACATGTAATTATTTGTGTATTATAAATATCTAATAACTTCGTTTGCAATTTTTGAATATTCTATTCTAAGATTTCTTTAATATCAATGCAACATTCTCACAATAAAGTTAATTTTTGATCGAGCACATATTTAGACATACATCAAGCTCCCAACCACTAATACATATATAAGGACTAAAATTTAATTAGTTTCATTCCAATTCATTTTTTGTACATTACATTTGACTAAACTTGTCACTCTCTTTTGTATTGAAACAATTTCTACAAATCACTTTTTCATTTTGAATCTTTCTAATATCTTATTGATATATAAGGTAAGATAATCCTAATAGTCCTTTTGATATCTCATTTATATCTTTCATTTCAAAGTTATTAAAGGAATTTCTTTACATAATGTAACATAGCAACATCATTAAAATTAAAAAATTGCTTCATTGATTTTCATGTAAATACACTGATTAACAGTATTCTCTATAAAATCATACAATATGACAATATCATTAAACTTAAGATACCATTGTCTATAATCTCGTTTTAGTCCATATAGTGATTTCTTCAATTTACATATTATATTTTTCTTTTGTGTGGAAACAAACCCATTCTATTGATCCATATACTTTTCTTTATCTAAGTTACACTAGTACAGATGTAGAAAGTGAATTCAAGATTTTCAACATCGGTTCATCAGGGAACCGATGTAGAAAACACTTTCTACATCGGTTCTCAGATGAACCGATGTAGAAAGTCTTTTTATAAAATTAAGATAATTATTATCGACAGGATTTGAACCCAATACCTTAGAATTGAAGGTCGATACTCCAACCACTAAGCTACTAGGATTTTCCGATAATAACTTATACATAAATTATATTTATATACAAATAAAAATGTATATCCATGTAAATATATAAATATAAAATATATAAATACAAATACAAATATATTTATATATTTATATGTTGGATGTGAGAGCGCGTTCGAGAGTGAAAGTGTGTGATAAGTGGGTTTTCAAAATTTGATGTTAAATTTGTGAGCTGAGTCTCTTTATATGAATTTGTAATTTAATAATAGAATAAAATCTTTATAATTTATTTATAATAATATAGAATATAATCTTTATAATTAATTTATATAATGATATAAAATAAAGAAAAAAAATTATTTTATATCATTATATAAATAAATTATAAAGATTATATTTTGTCATTAAGTTATAATCCATATAAAGAGACTCGCTCACAAATTTGACATCAAATTTTGAAAATTCACTCGACA